GGCGGCGGCGCCAGCCTTCCCCGGGGTTCGCGTTTCCACGTGCATTTGCCTGCCGCCCACCTCGTGGGCAAAGCTGGCAGCGCAGAGTTAGCGCCCCGCGCCTGACGTTCCCGCACGAAGTTAGCTGAGCAGTGTCCCGAGCGGGGCGTCCTCCCTGCCTGGATCAGCCTCAGTAGGTTCCCTGACCTGGTATCTGGAACGGCTTCCCTGAGCTCAGCTTGCCTAGTGGGGAGTTGGGGGAACCTCACTCGCTAGCCCCGAACTGCCTTTCTTCAGATCCGCTCTTTAAATGAGATCTGGGACCGGAGAAAAGGCATTCAGACTGAATGCCATCGACGGCGAGGCTTTAGTTGTTTTGTTTTTTGCGGTAAGTCTTGCACAGTGAAGGTGGGGGCTTTAAGATAGAACTGTTGACTTATATAAACCCAACAGCATCGCCCTGGTTTCCTAGAAGTTCTGACATTTCCATAACGGCAAGTTCTTGAATTGCGTAACTTTCCTTTTCGATTTCTTAACAGGGGCACTATGAACGATGAGGAGCAGTTTGTAAGCATTGATTTGAACGATGACAACATCTGCAGTGTTTGTAAACTGGGAACAGACAAGGAAACCCTCTCCTTCTGCCACGTTTGTTTTGAACTAAATATTGACGGTAAGTTTCCGATACATACATCCATTTTATGGCATGAGCTTTTTACACCACAACTTTATGCTGAGTTCGTTGTAAGGTAAAGCCAGGATTTCTTGAATGATTGAAAATTATGCCTGGAGTGAAATGTGGTGTTGTACTAAAGATAAGGGTTTTCTGAAAACAAAGCTGGCCAGCATCATTGTGATTAAAGAAAAATCTCACTTAATTTTCAACTTCCATCGCACTGATGCCTTTTTTGCTAAGATAATAAATATTGACTGGCAAACATGTTTTCTGACTTGAACGCTTATTCAGCTGTCAGATTTTAACAGGTGTCAGGGGTGAGTAGGCGACATAATATGTTGTTGGATTTTCTAATAACTAACTAAATTGAGAGCTAACTAAATTGATGGGGAAAATAACACTTTTACGCCTTGGCCAACTTGCTAGGTCTTGAGGAGAGCCAGGACTCTGTTTTATCTCGAAAGCATTTTTAGATTTTACATGACCTCATTTTCAGTGATCATGTATACCTTTATAAATTTCTTAAATTTAAAAGGTAAAGATTTTAAATATTTTAATAATATCTTTAAGAGTAAGTGGAAACGTTCTCCAAATATTAAAAGAAAGCTTTGTATTGAAAATAGTTGGGTTAATGTGTCCATGAACATCATTAGTTTGCCTCCAAGAATATGTGGAATATTTTTTTAATCTTTATATTATCGTGATTAAACTCTGGGTTTGAAATCATATTTACAGCTTATTATAGAGAATATTCCTGCCATTAGAAAGTTTGCCTGTCGTTTGAATTTTGATTGTAACAAGTCAGTGAAGATTGTCAGACCCTTTAGATTTTGAAATCTCCAAACAGTATCTTACTCTTTTCCCTGAATTATTTATGTGCAAATTTTCATTGCTTTTACTTTCTCCTATTTACTAAGTAGGAGATATGTTCTCATTGTAAGAACAACACAAACATTAGTATTACTTACTTTGAGATCCCTTGTCTTTTAGAAATTGCTGTTGGCACCGAATTAAGATCTTTAGATTTTCTATAATGAAAGTCAAAATTATAACCTTAAGTAGACAAGTAAAAACCTGTAGTTAATTACCTGACGTTCATCTTCCATTTAAGATCATATCGGTTTTGACAGTTTGCCAGTATACTGTCTAAAAGAATTGTAGTTGCTGATTATGATAATTGATGGGAGATCATTGATTTCCTATGGGTTATACATATTACATATAATGCCAGCTTTAATGAATGTAGTAATTAGAATTTCAATTTAAAAATATGATTCTTACATAGCATTTAAATTACCAATTCCTTATTCATGCAGAATGAAAGATAAGGATTTTTACTTTTTGGAAATAAGTTGCTCCTATATAATCTTTTACACTGTAGATTTTAATTTAAGATGGGCAAGTTATCAAGTCCAAACCTGTGTTTTACATTGAGGGAAACAGGACCAGGGAGCTGGACTGCCTGTGGTCATTGTAAAGGTGGTGAGCTATTGTTACGTGCCAGAAGCTGCACTACACAGATACCTTATACTGATGATCCTATTGAACTCAGCATACGACTGGGATGACAACTCTTACGGATATCAAAGGTGATAGACGGACCTTCAGATTTGAGATGTGACTTTGAAGTCACACAGCAATAAATAACAGTGCTGGGCTTTGATCCCAAGATCTGGTTTAGGTGCATGTGATCTTACATATAATTCCATTGATCTATTTTCAGTATTCATTTTAATTGCTTAGGGTTAATATTAAAAACCTGTCTTTCTGATTCCTAACTTGTTATCCTTACTATTCAGTCAGCTAACTTTTCCTAACTAAGTGATCACTAATGCTTTTCACGCTGTGATAAAAATTTTGTCACAAGAAACCTAAGTTTTCATAATTGCTTTCCTAGACCTTTCTTATATGCCTTTTTCTGGTTCTCAATTATTAGGTAGGAGATACACAAATGTTCCTTAAGTACTATCTTTATAAATATTTTATTTCTGGTAACAAATTGGCATATAGGCATGACATAAGTCCTTTGTTTTTGAAATAACAGTATTTAAGTTAGAAATATTTCATTTTAATATTCTACCTACATGCAGGATTTTTAGAAATTTCTTCTCAGTTTGATGTTCTCACTACTTGCAAATACATTTTCCTGCTTACTGCAGCAATGCATTAGTGCATTTGACCATTTTAATTTAATATTTTAAGATTCCTGTAGGAAAAAGGGCGGAGAAAACCCAAAAAGCTACATACACACTTACCATTTTTATCAGTTCATAATATTTTTAGAAAAAAAAAAAGATAACATTCACATCCCTAAAAAATAACAAACTCTATTCTGTGTCTGTCGGTAAATCTAAAATATTTTGAAGTTTTTTTTCCTCCCCTACCAAGTTTTCCATAAATGCCAGTCATTAAATGTTGGACTATAAGAGGGGCTTTTAAAAAAAAAGGTTATTTAACCATACTAGTTTCGTGTAATAATTTTGTAGTATGCTAATGCTGTTGCCTGGTATATTGGCTTACTCGTTTGTTAAATTTGCTTCAAAGTATTCTTTTTTCTAAGAAACTAGTAAGAAATTCTCTAGAGAAATAACAGACCAGGTTTAAGTCTACACACTCTAGAGAAATAACAGACCAGGTTTAAGTCTACACACCTGTAAACAAAATATTACACCTTTTGGATTGTTTCTTATGTCAAATCAAAATGGCCTCTTATTTAAAAGCAATGTACATGATTGTATTTATAAAATGAAAACAAAAGAAATGACTAAAGACAGTCCAGTCTTGTAGGAGAGGTTTTCTATGCTGAACATGACTCTAAATTGCCTTATTCTGTGACTTTACAGTAACTTAAATAAAAGGGAAGCTTCACTTTATATACTGCCATAGACAATACATTTCAGGGAGCTAAGAAATGCATTTTGAGGGCTCAAGTCTCTTAAAATGTTCACAAGGTTAATTTTTCTTGTTTTAGAATTCACCATTAGGATACTTTGGCTACTTTAGGATTAGGAGACATATGCATAAATGTTCTAGTACTTATCACCTATCTTTAAGACACTATAAACTTTTTATGTGTTTATGATCAAACACTCTTAATATGCATCATAGTTCATTATGCTACAATTGTTGGAGTTATTTTTAGTGACCAAATTACAACATTCTCTAAACTATGGAGACAGGCAGAAAGGTAGTCCATGGTGGGAAGGAGCCAATAATAAAATTCAACTAAATGTAACAAAGTTAGAAATGAGAAACTATATGTAATTAAATTTGGCATTGGCCCCTTTCTTTCTTCTTAATAGCAAAATGTATTGGTATTAACTAAAAGCATACTTTTAAATATAAAACCTAATGTGACTTGTGAACTTCAGCTTCATATCTTTGATATACTTGGAAACAAAGGTTCAAGGTTAATTTTTTGTTGTTGTTACTTTCTTTTAATGTCGCTATAAATAAATGGGAACTCTTTTAAAGTGAGTCTAATAGTGGAAGCTCATTATTTGGACAAGAGTGGAGAGGATTGTTAATCAGTAATAAGTTTAAATTCTATTTCAACAACAAAAAAAATAGTTGAAATTAGGCTGATAAGATCTCGTAAAATCTTGTGACTTAACTCACCATCGCATAGATGAGGAACCAGGTTCCAGATTCTTACCCTGCCCTAATAAAGACAATCTCTGTCTAGTTGTCCCAGACTTTCCATCCCTTTCAACTTCATTAAGCTTTCTTTTTTTTTTAAAGATTTATTTATTTATGCACAAAAGTGGGGTATAGGCCAGAGGAGTGGTGGGTGAGAATATTCACCAGAGAAAGAGTAGGGAGCAGAACAGGCATATTGACGAAGTACACCTCTGAAGGTAGCAGCGGGCAGGTCAGGAGAGGTATGCGCGCCATGTGGATCAGCAACCTGGCGGGGATTGAACTTGTGCTGCAGTGCCTTCTGAGACCTTCATAATGTGGTGCTTTAACCCATTGTGCCACCTGGGAGAGCCCTCGTTAAGCTTTCTAATTCTAAAATCTAGGATGCGTTTGAAATTTGGTTGTATAAAACTTTTTGGTTGAGAAGATATATCCAGTAGATTAGCTCTGACTGTACATAACAGGAAATCTAAGTAATAATGGTAAAATAAGATGAAATAGATATTTATATCATATAAAAGTTGAGTCTAGAGTGTGTCTGGTAGCTCCATGATCAGAAGGACTCAAGCTGTTTCTGTTTTTCCTTTCCCCTTTTTTCACACATAGTTTTCATCTTCAGAGTCACTTTATGAGTGAAGGTAAATTGCTGGGATGCCAGCAATTGCTTCTATAACCCAAAGAGAAAGAGAAGACAGAATAGATGACAAAAGGGAGGTGAGGGGGCATGTCAGCAGTCTTTCCTGCCTCTAAACAGTCCTTATGTCCTACCTAACAGTTTCCTATGCATTTTACTGCTATTTTACAAAGAAGGCGACAGTGAACATTGAGTAGGCAACTAGCATAATTGGCCATGGGGAGGCCTTTCTAGAGATTAAAGGCTAAACTACACTGAGAAGAAATTATCAAAGCAGCAATAAGACCAGTGAGGAATGCTCTGATGATTCTTCTAGCCTTCAAGTTTGGACCGGAAGGAATTTTAGCAAACATATTCTGAGAATGGTTGTACAGCCAGAACTCGTGAACTTGAATGCAATTTTCAGGTTTTTAACCCATCTCTCTAAGAAAAATGTGATGATTAATATTTATATACATAAAGTGGTCCCAGTTTTTTCCTTTTGTTAGAAACTTGTGTGATTAAGCAAGGTTGATACTATAAACTTAGAAAAACTCCTAACCTCTGGTCATGACAGACTAACATGGTCATTTCATCCTCCTCAGTGCCTTCTCAGGAAGATTGCTTTTTTGTACTCAGATATAGCTGGGAATTGATCTTGCCACTGACTAGTTGGGTTTTCTTAGCAAGATGCCCAAGTGCCACACTGATACCCAGTTGTTACTACTAAGAGCAATTTCATATT